GTACTGGGTAATAAAACACATACAAGCGTTAGTTGGCGTCCTACACTAGCTGCGTAGAGCGTATCGTTTTTTTACGCTCCCAATGAGCTTTGTTGGCTCTCTTGTTCTATTTATACTCTTTGGTTGGTCCAAAGAGTATCGCATTGTTATGTCGTCATTCCTACAAATTGCAGACAGGTGATTGGTCAATTCGGAGGTGTGGCATTATGGGGCTTCATTGATGATTTCCATTGTGGTAGACTTGACTTGCCGCAAGTCTCTTATTTTTTATTATTTTTCTCATTCTCGACAGCGCCACCAACGAGAAAGTTAATTTAGAGACGAATTAAATTAGGTATGGCGCGCACTAAGTGCAATAAAGATTGTGTAACCTAAAATTAGGGCCTGGAACATCTAATTAGATCTAATTAGATCCAATCTAGATGTAATTAGGGCCGTAAACAATGCACAAAATTTAATCAAACCCTGTCTAACTTTCTGCCTGTCACCTGTGGAGTCCCTCAAGGATCTTTGCTTGGCCCCCTTTTGTTTTTTCTTTACATCAACGATATATGCAATTCTTCCCAATTATTTTCTTTTCATTTATATGCAGATGATACTACCCTTCTCCATTCGGCTAATGATATCGACTCCCTTTTTAAAATTTCCAATGATAATTTACCTAATGTTCTCAAATATTTCTCTGCTAATAAACTCTCAGTGTTAATTTATAGAAGTGCAATTGCATTATCTTTCAAAATGTCCATAGACCACTTGATAATTACATAAGTCAACTCAAAATTAATAATTAGGTAATCCCCCTCGTTAATGAAACTAAATTTTTAGGTGTTGTTATTGATAGTCGTTTAAGTTGGGAAAAACACATCATCTGAAGTTGAAAATAAAATTGCCAAAAGTATCGGCATCATTTACAGGTTATCCTCTTTTGTTCCCCAAAATATTCTCCGTGTTTTATATTGTTCTTTGATCCTTCCCTACCTGAATTATTGCAACTTGGTCTGGTCCAACACTTACCATTCCCATCTTAATAAACTGCTACTCCTTCAGAAGAAAGCCGTTCGAATTATGTCGGGTGCACCTCCGCGAGCTCACACCGATCCTTTATTTTCCTCCTTTGGTCTTCTAAAAATTCATGACATCAATCATCTTCAGCAGTGCGCTTTTATTTTTTCATGGGTAAATTTCCCTCTCCCCCCTCAATTTAAATCATTACTCAATTTTAATTTTGATTATCATAGTAATTTTATCCGCTCTTCAAATCATCTTTATATTCCCTTTCATAGAACCACTTCTTTCCAGCACAATATTCAATATACTGATCCTAAGCTATGGAACAATCTCCCTCACTCCATGTGTAATTCCTACTCTAAAAAAAAAACTTCTGTTCAAGACTAAACATCTCTTATCAAGTTATGCATAATTTTCTCCTTTTACTCATTCTCGATCTCCATTACCAACTCGTTACATTTTGTTTTTGTCCCAAAATTATAAAAGAAAAAAATGCATTTCTAGCATCCTCGTGTTGTCTGCTTCGTCTGTCTTGTCTCTTGTCTCCCGTTGTCCTGTCCTATCCCCTGTTGTCCTGTCCTGTTTCTGTTTTGGCTTTGGTTTTTCTGTGTGTTTATTTCAGGGCAGCCCTACACAAGCTCC